CTCGGAGCGCACTTCGATCGCATTATTCGCGTACATTTCGACTGAACTCTAATAACCACATGTTTGAATTACATGCGGTAATGGGCAATGACCTCAATGAGTTCACGCACTGACATTTAAATTCGGGCCACCCAGTTTGACGCAAAATGATATAGTTACTTAACATTTGTTCAAAAAAATCGGTAAACTCTCGCGAAGAGTTAACTGAAAGGCAACGTCGTTTTTGACGCCCAAAAAAAACATGTCAATACAAGATTATGTGTGCGAGGTTAGATTTATAGAACGTACATGACCGCTTAACTCAGTTTTTTTTTAATAATCATGTCGCACGTGAAACACAAGAGACATTTTAGTTCGTCCATTTCTTGTTTACCGATCTTGAACTTTTTGTCTGGAATGCGATACAGGCAAAGAATAAACATTAATGATACCCACCGTTGTCAAATCAACAAGAGGCTCGAATCAGGAAGGCTCGGCTATTTAAAACTTTGTAAATAACATTCTTTTCATGTGGTAGACTTTATTCAAGTGTAACAAACGTAAGTGAAATGTATGGACGAGTCATAATACTCGTACCTTCAAAAGTTACGACTTTTACTCTTGGAATTGGTGATAAATACATTGTTTCATGCAACAACAATTCGTATACAGCATTGGACTTATGGATTTTTATATTAATAAAATACGTGGGCCGATATTACCATATGCTTAGTATTTCCATGCCAGCGATGCTCGTAACCTGGTCGATTTAAAAACAGCTATTTGAAACAAAGACTCAAGGAATCACAAAGGAAACTGTTAAGTACGTATTTCACACCTTTCCTAGACCGCGGCTGCAACCGGTACCGATGGCCACCGCGGTAGAGACCCCTAATTATAAGCAGTCCGCGGCTCTGCTCGGTGTACCGCATAGAGCCGCGGTGAACCACCCGTTTGATTTCCTACTCTCCCCTAATTAAGATGTTGTTTCATTGCAATTATTTATTCCTTCATGAGCAGTAAATAAATAAAAACTGAAAAGAAACTATCATTATTTATAGATTGCCTCCTGATCAAGATCAATATTTGTCTTCCAATCTGTTTAATTCTCTAAATTTGGAGTTTCTATTTTGTGGAATAGTGTCTTGCTATCAACATTTTATGTACATGTATAAAACATCTTATTATTACAGTAAACCGAGGAAAGCTGTTGAAGAAGATATTATAAAAGGAATAAAAGCGGTTATCAGACAGATTACAGCGTCGGTTACATTCTTACCATTGTTAGAAGGAGCAAGTAAGTTTTACTCATAACCGATCACTGGTAGCATTCATAGTGGTTGTACCTAGTTTAAAGCTGTATCATAATCTTTATTTTTATTAGAAGCCTTTAAACAAACATGTTTCAATTAATAAATGCAACAGTAGTGTATTCACAGTTTTCTGAGTTAGTTGTGATGCATGACAAAATATATTGTAGTGAATAGCAAAATATGCCCGTTTTTTTTTATCAGGATATGGTATTTTGCGAAAGCTGTATCTTTCTGATTTGCATTGTCTCACTTTATTCAAAATGTTGCTGGCATTACAATTTGAAGAGTCAATCGGCGTGTGCCGAATTCGGTATGGGTCCCATGCAAACGTATACATGTGAAAACTACATTGTTTTTTAATACATAGTTTAAACATGTGCTGTGAATTTATAAATGCTACTCAATTTGTGAATTGAATATCTAAATCACAACAATTGGTACTTCCACTGCTGGAATATTTACAGTTTTCACCATATTCTGTCACTAATCGATAGCAGCAATGACAGCAGTACTCATGGCTCATAATCCTTGTATTTGCATATTGACAAAATCCAACACAATGCATACCCATATCCCAATCAATCAGATCAATCAATCAGATCAATCAGAGCACATCTTGTTTGTGTAAGGGCAACTGAAAAAAATCAAGTTTGGCTTATAAAAAAAACGAATACTGTAAATATCTTTAATTTTTGTGATAAGTAAATGCCTTGGGTTTTGTTCCTGATTTAAAAATATCCTTGCAAGAATGTGCATTTGGTAAAATCACAGCTGTGAATATTCATGTTCTTAAAGTTGTGTCAGCAAAACATAGTTAAAGGCCTTTTCAATTTCAAGTAACATGAACAAAAATCTGAGAGTGCTTGTTTGCAAGTTATACTGGCTGAAACCTGACATTTTTTGCAACAGTGTTAGACGTTTACGACCATCTGGCATCCTCGACACAGAGTCTACAGAGACACCAAGTATGAGCGCAAACTCATTAGCTCTTGCGTCATGGTCCCTCATGCATGTACTGAGGGCAGGCTTCTGGAGAACGCAAAACATCCTTATCGATTATTACCTAAGAGACACAACCCATTGAGGAAGGTCTTTTAGGGTGGGTCCAGTCGTAGTGGGTCAGACTTGGTTTACTGACCTTGCCCAGACAGCCACAGGAATCCCTGCATATAGGTGATAGAGCAGTCTCTGCTACAGATTTGTGCGGAGAAGTTTCTCCCATCAGCGCTCCTTGGAAGTGTCCAGGTCTTGCTTACAGCTCATGCAGAACTGTTTCGACCTCTTTTCTTTTTTTTTGCAATGCTAGTTACCCCCAAATTGGGTTTGGGTCTAGTGTCCTCATGCAATGCCGACTCCGTCACCCCATCAGCAGTATGCTTTAAGTATGGGGACGACATTGGCAAGGTAAGACACCGTTTGTCCCTGGTCTTAGCTAGATGGGAGTCATAAGTTTTGTCCTGGGAGGGGACACCACTTTATTTCGAGCATTCCTTTGTGTTTGTTTTGCTTGAAACCCACCACATTTCATCATCTGACTCTGCCTACAGTTCAAAATAGTCATTCTGACTGACCAGAGTTTATGGTGTGTAATTGAATGTAGTGAATTTAGGCAACCCACCTATTCACATAGTTCATACCCACCATATACTCCAGTTTGCCTAAATCGGATAATGTTAAAAAGTGCAATGTTGCGCTTTCTTTGAAAATGAATCACATTAAATATTGATTTCATATTATATTGTATTCTTCAATTATTAGCTGAGAATCCTGTGTGTGATTCGGTGACAATTCAACTTTAAAAAACAACGAGTGTCTTTTGCGAGGTATTATCTTCACCAACTCCTTGTAAATTCTGCTTTAAACACTTTACAGTATGTTTTTATAATAATAAAAAGTTGTTGTTCAATTATTTATTTTTAATTTTCAGCTGTGTTTGATTTACTGATCTATACTGACAGAGATGCTGAAACACCTTTAGAGTGGGAAGAGTCTGGACCACAGCTCATACCGCAGGGACGAGAAGTTAGACTGAGATCGTTTAGTACTACGATACACAAAGTAGATGCCATGGTCGCTTACAAAGGGGACCAGTAATACACACTGTTGAAATTTACCAAATGTAAATAATAGAATTCTTCTACTGCCAATTTAAATATTAAGATAAATCTAATAACAATTTAAAACTTAATACAATACAAATTTATTAAGTACATAAGAAACTTAAATAAATCAGACTCCTCATACAGGTTTATTTTAATTATAAAAAAAAATTGTCAAAATAAATCAGTCTTCCTGTCGAAAACTCGGCACCCGGCCGTTCATCAAAGCTTCTTTGTGCCCAAGTTCAAATTTTAAACAAACTGCATGAACTATTATTGGTTGAACTATTATTAATGATAGTGATGATCTAAAAATTAGAAAAAATAAATAAATTAACTAAATATCTGTTTAAACTGAACCCTTATTACCACTGTGAGTCAGTGAAATCATTCATATTGTTTTTGTTTTAGGTGTTCAGTTTGAACTTTAATTTTAATCTGTAATGCTATACTATTCAGAGAGGCGCATCTCTGGCGGCCAGTCTTGATGTGTTCTACAGTCGTCGCACTGAATCATGGGAAGATACATAGCTATGTATACCGGTATAATGTGTAAAACCATATTATTTGTTTACACAAAGTTCGTATGGGTGCTGCTCGACGACTGCAGCACCTTAATTGTTTGTGCATCTGTGTCGATTACGATTGACAGATGATGAACAGTCAGCCTCAATTTCTGAAATAAAATATACTTCACTGCCCGATTGGTTTCATATATTTTACAAAGAGCATTGTTTCAAAGACAGAGTTTTTTTCTTCAAACTGGGTCTTTAATATATACTCAAACTAGTACATTGTAATTCTATTCTATTTACATTTCTGTGCAGGGTTGTAATGTAACGACGTCTTCACTGCTTTTTCATGAATGATTGTATATAAGTGTATAGAAGCCTGGCTTAGATAATTTGAGAAGTTTTCTTAACCTCTGTTACTTCAAACTTGTGATCAAAATCCACATTATGCTCCACACCTAATGTAGCTTGTCAAACCAATATATGAACTACTGACCCTATGACCACAGATACTGTATTTATTCCTTTTCCATTATAGTTTATACTAGTCTGGAACGTATAGTTGTGTTCCACTCATTCTCTTGATCCACTGACACTCAGGTACAATGCTAATATCTCATTATTTAGCCTTGTATCTGTGTTGCACTTGCTTTGCACAATTCTTCTAATGCCTAGGTACAGTGCTAGTAATATCTTTATAGCATAGAATCTATGCAGTGTTCCACTTAGTATACCTAATTACCATTTTAGTAATACATGTATCTACTTTGTCAGTCATACTGTGCATATATATCTGCATGGGTCAATGATGCGTTAGTGGAATGGCGTATAGCAAATACAACACCGCATAGATTCTAGTCATTAGCGTTTGTAATACTGCAAAGATTCTATGTGTTACTGGATTGGTGCTGAGCGAAAGAAATACTGCATGATGTTTATACAAATTCTGCATAGCCAAATGCTGGGAAATGTGGTTATTTGTGCTGAATCTTTCAACTCACTGACACAAAATTATATTTCCTTCTTAGTGTTTTTGTACTGTTGAACAATTTTCTTTTTGTTACTTTTGATATGGATAATAAATGATTCTTTTCGTATACAGTTTGTCTCTCAGTATGGTACCTATATCACAGTCGCTTAGCAACCTATATCACAGTCGCTACTGTTCATTGCCAGCAATTGGAATTGGCTCAATTAGTACTAAAAATGGATTGATAATGTATATATCTTCAACGGATTATGTTCGAAGTTGTTACAAAGACAAAACATAATGGTAAACATGTGCACATTGATTTGTTATTTAGCTCCGCTGCCATGTCATTGTAGATGACAGAGCAGAGCTGTTTATATAGGTGATTGTCCGTCGTTTGTCCATCAACAATTACATTTCCATCTTCAGTAGGCGTGATTAACTGGTATAGTGATATGTATCTATCAATTCATGCAATGAAAGAACAAAAACATGTTTTGTTGTCGGAATTCATGCCCATTAATCAAATAAGTTGTTTTAAAAATAAACGGGTTATTTCAAAAGCGACATGTATGTGAATCAAAAGAAACTCGTACTATAATTTTTCTATTAGTTGCGCATGCATGTAAATTTGTTTCTATTGAGTATAATGCAACATATGCGATAAGGTAAATATGGTCATTTTACCGAGTGAAATACATACTTCACAAATTGATTGAAAATTCGACCTTGACCCGCCCCCAAATTTGGAAATAACTTTACTTTAGAATAATTGCATTGCCAGTATATAAAGGTAAATCGAAGTGCTCACATCGTCCGCCAGCACAGTGTTGTTTTGTTCGGACATTTCTCCCTGCTTCGCCGAACATTCACCATAAAAATTCAAGATGGAGTGCCCCAAAAACTAGAGCCTTCAAGTTGACATGGCTTCCTAGCTCATCAGTTCAAATTTTACAGAAGCCCTGGGGGCTGAAGAGACTAGGACGAAGTGACGGAAGGCAGATGGTCCAAAATTGGTCGATTTCACAACGAAAACCGTGTGAAATGGGAAAACTATGACGCATCGTGGCGTCACGATAACTTATTCAAGATGGTGGCAAACACGGGGATTTCGCAGTAGTTTTTCGCCGTTTTCATCTTGAAATCGACCAATATTCATACATGTTATCACACAGAGTGATCGGAAAATGAAAGAGCTGGTATTTTGCTCCTCCTTTGGTCAGATGCAAGGGAGAGCAGGAAATTTTTTTTATAAGGTTAAACATTCAAGTGTTGCTGAGTTTAGTTACTTAAGAATATAGTGTCAGTGAAAGTTTACTCTCACTCATATTATGCATCTCGAGAGGAAATCCGAATTCATTTGCAACCAGACTCACTTATGTTATTCTAAATGATCTTATGTAAAAAAAAAAAAAAATATTTGTAATTTTCATTTTTCGACATTTAATACAATTTTTGGAAGATATTCCTACGAATAAACATATGCATGTATTATAATAAAAATATGAGGTTGTAGATGGGTATTAGTGATATACTTGTATGGCTAAAAAGGAAGATTACTAACAGTAGACCATCTTTGATCCGATCATGGAACGATTTATCGTGCACATGTACATGCACAAGCCAGACGGCGCGGCCATCTTTAATCAAAACGCCAAATGAACATGCATCCATTTGTGGCACGTGCTAAATATCAATTAAAACAGTACATATGTGAAATATTTTAAATCTGATTGTAAAACAAATCGTCATGGAAATGTATTCAAACATGGATAATATATTAACCAACAAAAACTGACAAAGCACGTCTAATATACCACATTTGAAAATGTGGTAAAAATCTCCCTGATCAGTCTTTATGGTAAGTTTTATGGTTGGGTGGTCAATCTGGCAATCTTGTAAATAGCTTTGCAATGACCCTGAGATTTTGGGTTATATTCATGGGGTCAGCTGTCAAATCTGCAGTGAATAATACTTTGCAGGTGTTTCACTTTTCTCACCAACTCAGGAACATGCTTGCTTCCTTCTTGCTACCTTATCAAGCATGAACAATTATGTCACGAGATGTCTCTTGAACTCCAGAGGGCGCTATGCACCTGAATGGAACATGAAGTTTATTGAATACAGACTTCCTTACAGTGATTCACAGGCTACATTTACTTTTTTTTTTTTCTCCTCTCAAATTGAACTAAATTTTCAAGTAAATCTGAGACTCATTCAGGTATTCATTATAAATATTACTTGCAATCTGCACAATAACATTCAAAGTTGTATATTACCAAGAAAGCTAATGTTTTCAATTTCCTAAATATAGAACTATACGGGACGTGAGCTGAATATTGACATAACGGTCGCCTTTTTTTTCCTAGGTTCATTATACAGTTAGTCAGGAGGATAACTAATCAATTACAAAATTAGATTGTCTGGATAGGAAACAAACCCTGTATGAATTGTATGTCATAATGCCAGAGGTATAAACAGTTTGTGCTACCTGCCAGATGAGATTGTAAAGCAGACGCTTTGATTTCATTTGAGATTTTGTGTATTGCTAATAATAATGAACAACTAACACAACCAGATCATGTAGTACTGAATGACACCGATTTCACTAATCCCCATAATCGCTGCTAGAGAGCGCCACATTCCGAATATTCGCACGAGGTAAATATTTCAAGTGTTTTACAGAGCGCCCTCTGTAGGTTGAGTGTCAGATGGCAGAACAGTCTTACCTGCTCCATCTCATGACAGACACACACATATTGTAAAAAATGTTTTTTAATGAGTATAAAAAGAACTGAAAAATGACAAGATACAACCAAAACAAGAACTGTCTTATTTACATCTATAATGCTATTATTCATAGACAAACAAAACATGTCTTGTGTACATTGTAGTTTGTACATGAATTCATATATTATTGCTAGAGGGAAATTACATCATAAAATACTGATTTCCTTGAAACATACAAAAAAATTTTGTCTATTGAAAATCTCATGCACTTTTACCGTAATATACATGGAAAATGGCTCAGCGACAAATTGAAACAGAAAATTAAAACTTTTCAATTACAATTTCAATTAATGTAACTGCCTTTACCAAAAGACAACAAATATAGGATCATTTCCATGCAGACTAATCCCATGGAAACATTAATTCACAAATTATGCCGTATTTTTGACTGTGATATTCGAAGTTTCTTTAAAAATAGATAAATTTGAAATTAAAATTACAGAATTCAATCTACAATGTGTGTACAGATTTGATAAAAACAATGATTTTAAGAATTAGGATTATTCAGTCACCCCGAGGGATGCCAAAACAGAATATTCTCATAAACAATAGAAACTTGTTAATTTCAACACAATTTTATGGTGTAAAAGTTCAGATATTGGAATCATCCCCTCCCCCTAATCAAATCATGATTTCTGAACTTATGGAACAATTTGAGACAGACCCTTAATATTCCACCCATGTGAAATTAATTCTATTTAAACAAACAATTTTTTTGGTTAGATAATGAGAAAGCATGAATTGTTTTATCAAGACAGTACATAAGCAACCACCTCATATAGTGAGAATAAAATAATAGTTGCTCTTTTGGGTCACTGTTTATTTATAGTAGTACCACAATTTGGGCAAAAAAAAAAAGAATAATTTTCTGATTTACTAGTGGTACAACTTCTTTGTTGTCTTCAGTTTCTAAATTAGGCACTATTGATGATTTTTCTCATAAGAAATTAGGTGGAAAATCAGAAATTATTACATGATCATTTTGAAAACTGAAAATAACGAATAAATATTTTTGCAGATAAAAATAGCACCATAGTATAAATCCAAATTTGTGAAAATTCTGTTTTTTTAAGTAGCATGATTAGTATGTGCTATAATAAAACATAGCACATTTTTGAAGAATAGAAAAAACTATTATTCTTGATTTTGCACGAAACACAAATCTTATGTAAATTGCTGTAAGTATATTTGTTCTTATTTTTCTTTTTAAAAACAAATCTTATACGTCACATTTTTATCAGATTGACTGTCACTAATACACTGATTTCTGCGAAAACTAATTTCCATTTTTTTGATAATGTTCTTGACAGCAATGTTTTTTTTGTTTTTTTTTTAGGTTGCAATGTTCTTGTAAGAAATATAGAAAGAATACAACGGTTTGTGTGGAAGACAAATTGGAACTGAAATTGTGTATGTCGATGATAAATCACAGATGGATACAGAGATCATTATTCCCGAGCTGACGACTTCATCTACACTTCCTCTTCTGTAGCTCCACACTTGTGTCGAAATTCCTGACCCCTTTCATGGATCCATTTATTTGAAACTTGAAATTAAAAAAAAAAAAAAAAAAAAAACATAACTATTACAATCTTGCCACTGCTTTAAAATATGGGAACAATACTGACTGTATACCATGATAATTGGTTAATGCATTGCCAGAAAGGGCACTCTTCCCAAAACAGATAAAGCCATACTATAACTAGTTTCTTTAACATACCATAGTGCTGCTTTTAAAAAATAAACGTGGCTACTTGATTGGTTGAAATATTAATTTCCTCAGCATTATTCAACATGCTTGTTCGTTTGAATGGGATATAGCAAATATGATCAGTGTTTTGAATAAGTGATTTTCTGTTCAACTGCAAGATCGTGCGAGATGTGTGAAAGACTAGCACTGAACTTCTGCCACAAAAATAAAACAGTTTCTTTATTTTGTAGCTCACATCAAAAGGTTGATATTTGCATGGAGAACATTGCGTTTGATTACCCTTACTTGATCGAAATTGACCATCATCAAATGTGTACAGCACATTATTAAACATGGAACTATTTCCCAAAATACTTCAGTGTTTGTCAAAACCCATGCGATGTTTGTCGTCACTATGACACTATGACCTTTGTTTGTCCTGTTTTTAGGCTTGATCTCGCATAACGCGGGATCTTGCGTGAGCGGAAAATGGTCTATTAAAGGTGGCATGCCTGTGACTTTACTATAATGCACCTAGTCTCTGGATAAAGGAGAAATTTGCAACATTACTTGAATATACGTGGTGCTGATGGTTGTGTTAAAAATGAAACAGAGTATCCCGCATGTATGAACAACAATGACATTTAACTTGCCATATTCCAAATACGGTCACCTAATTATTCACTAATCTATTGTGAGTAGAATGCAGTGTGCTCTTTAAAGAGCAGTAGTCGTCACGTCATGCATGCGAGAGATATATGGGTCTCATATATACAAAGATGGCGACTTTGACTGTTGCGCAGATTAACGAGTACAAACCGATACGTTCCTAAGCTTTAATTAGGTAATTTTTAGGTGATTGGAAAGGTATCGAAAGGAGTTACCAGTGATAAAATCAATGTTTATCAACACAAATGTCGCACATGCGCAGCGCTATGACCTCCGCCTTTTAAGCCATTATGATACACAGATTATTGAGGAGGCAACTTAAGTAAGCCCAGACGGTGTTTGTACTTTTTCTATATTCTCTTGCAAGTGACACCTGCAGAAATTATTCAGCATTTGAATTAGAGGACTTCGTGTCTGTCCACAACTTCAACTTACCCCATTTAGATCCAACCAGTACAGGGCACGCTGCGTGTCGAGTAGAGTAATCACCTTCGCCATTTTTTAATAAGTTATACCAAAATGCAGCAGAACCCTAGAAATAAAAAAAACATACATATTACTTAATCAGCGAAACCTACACAGTGACGGTAGATATGAACATACAACTTTTACTACTGACTGTTTTATTTAAAACTGTTAAAAACGAGGAATGAGGATAATTTTCTGACCAAACTAATACACATACATCAACCATTAATGTACTAATCAGAATTAAAAGGATACTAGCAGCCTATAAAAATAAAATAATAAATGACTGTTTTTGAACATAAATGAATTGTCAGAAACATATTATAATATATTGGTAACCACATGTGTTCTCCCCATATTCAAGTATTCTGAGAGTGCTTTATTCATATTCAGTTTACAGCAAATGTTTAATATTTAATATTTTCGTAGAAATAGACTTATAAAGATGCACCAACTTACTTTTTCTGGTATAAGCCTCGCACCGACCTGTGGAAATACGGTCGCTCCTCCAGCTTCCACATCACTCATCTACTCGAAGAGAAACACATATTATCAATAAAGACAACAAGTCATTGAAAATGACACAGTCCCCGTTAAATTTTTGAAAGTTCTCTTTGTGCTCGTCATATTAAAGCGGAGGGGTTGTCGCGAGTGTGTCCTTGAAACTTGAGTTCCAAGTGGCGTATACAACAGATTGTTTATTTACATCAAAACACGTATTCCGTGTAGTAGTAATATGGCTAAAAAAACAAACAACCGTTATTCAGCCATCTTTGATCTGATTATGAAATACACTGATATGTATGATGTATGTGCCAAATACGAATGAAAATGGTACATAAATTGTGGAAATATAGTAGTAAGGCCAAAAAGTAGGGTGGCTGTCAATCGGCCATCCTTGCCCAGATTTTGAAACAAATTGTCATGGACATGCATCCTAACATGTATACCGTAAAGTACATGTATGTGCCAAATTTGAATGAAAACTGACAGAGCACGCGTCCAAGATACCGCATAAAAAAAACAACAAGATGCCTGCCAGTCGACCATCTTTGATCCAATTGCGAAATAAATCGTATTGGACATGTATCCTAACATGTATAATCTATGAACCAAGTTTGAATGACAACTGACAAAGCATGTCCAAAATACAACATTTTCAAAAAACAAGATGGCTGCCAGTCGGCCATTTTGAATCGAATCACTAAACCACTGCATGTGCATATGTCCCACATAAAGTACTAGGCACATGCAAAGAATGAACAGAATTGATCCAAGGGATTCTGAGATATGACTCTGGACAGGCGCACGGAGACCGAATTATAAGTCCCCGTTTTCGGACTTTGTATGAACGGGGACTGATAAAGAGCACATTACAAAGCAGTGTTTCCTTGATCTCATCAAGATGCACAGTGACATTTTCTCAACTCTACACTCATGTTAATGTTATACATTAATATTTTAATTTTCTCAGCTCACTGACAAATTTGCACAGAGGAATACTGATCACAAGTCCTAAAATACCAATTTACCATGCAGATGTCAAAATTTTTGAAAAAAATTACACAGGTTTTTTATTTTGAAAATGCTATTCAAATTATTTATCAGTAATTTTAAACCTAATTAATCTTTGCATGCTACTGGTATAATTGACATAGTCGTCAGATTTCAGTTTATAATACAGCATATTGTCAGATTTTAGTTTATAATACAGCATATTGTCAGATTTTAGTTTATAATACAGCATATTGTCAGATTTCAGTTTATAATACAGCATATTGTCAGATTGACAAATGAAAATAGAGAATGGACGGGGCAAATCCATACATTGTGCCAAAATGAGATGTTAAAAACGTATTCCTAGGCATACATGGAGTACTACAAACAAACATGAAATACTCAACAGATTTGGGTAGCCTAACACCAAATTGGTTGATAAGAGCTAAAGGGAAGGTTCAAGACTTTTGTTATTGCTCTATTAGTTGAACCATCTGATGTTTATTAAAACTATATACAAGTTTCTATGTTTCACATTTTTTCTGATTGAACTGACTTCCACTGAAATCTTTCATTCTACAGATATTTAAACCCCCCCACTCCCAACTACTCAAAAAATATATTTAATTTAAATTCTAATAATTAAACCACCTCAAAAGATAATTATATAATAATAATTATTTATTCATGATTCAGTCAACACTCATATTATTTAAATTACAGCAGCTATAACCATTCCTCTGTGCAGGTCAGAAGCCACATCTAATTTTATGCTCTGCTGCCCTCTACAGTCTGAAACGGTAAATTACGGAACAAATTGAGCACTGAGGGCGCTCTTCCTAACACACGCCACTTGTGATCTCAGGAAGGTTAAAGTTGGGAACTGTCTAGACAACGCCTACAACAAAGACACAGAAACAAGATAAGAAACCGTATAAATAATGAAAAAGAATATTAACTTACATAAAATAAAAATGTGGCAATCCTGTTTCCAGTATTTAAACTTTTGAAGGCATTTATCTCTTCTTTCTGTGAAAGTAAGTAGTCATGATACAGAGTGAAAATATACTGAAGGTCAGTGACCCTTGGAGAAGGCGAATGGAGCACATGTTTAGCATTAACTGCTATGGTACAAACAGCAGCAGTTATGAATAAAACTGTATACTGATCCCACGAGATTGATACAACATACACGTATATACACACAGGGCAGCAACCCTTTAACCTGTCTGCACACTTTTACAAGCATTCTCTATGGTTGTCGGCAAACCCCTACAATATAGGTTTCACACCACAATAATAAAATGCAATGTAAAGCTGTCTAATGTGAACAGTGTGTAAACCTGTCCAATGTGAACAGCGTGTAAACGTGTCTAATGTGAACAGTGTAAACGTGTCTAATGTGAACAGTGTAAACGTGTGTAATGTGAACAGTGTAAACCTGTCTAATGTGAACAGTGTAAACGTGTTTAATGTGAACAGTGTAAACATGTTTAATGTGAACAGTGTAAACCTGTCTAATGTGAACTGTGTAAACCTGTTTAATGTGAACAGTGTAAACCTGTTTAATGTGAACAGTGTAAACCTGTCCAATGTGAGCAGTGTAAACCTGTCCAATGTGAGCAGTGTAAACCTGTCCAATGTGAGCAGTGTAAACCTGTCCAATGTTAACAGTGTAAACGTGTTTAATGTTAACAGTGTAAACATGTCTAATGTGAACAGTGTAAACGTGTCTAATGTGAACAGTGTAAACGTGTCCAATGTGAACAGTGTAAACGTGTCCAATGTGAGCAGTGTAAACGTGTCTAATGTTAACAGTGTAAACATGTTTAATGTGAACAGTGTAAACGTGTTTAATGTTAACAGTGTAAACATGTCCAATGTGAACAGTGTAAACATGTCCAATGTGAGCATACTGTAAACCTGTCCAATGAGAGCATACTGTAAACTTGTCTAATGTGAACAGTGTAAACCTGTCTAATGTGAACAGTGTAAACCTGTCTAATGTGAACAGTGTAAACCTGTCTAATGTGAACATACAGAAAACCTAGCTATTTTTATACATTTCAACGGCAGTTGAATACAACCTGCCAGTCAACGGTGCAGCATACAACAACAACATCATTTGAAAACGATAAGACCCTATCATCTCAGTATGGGCCAATATTTATGATCAACTGTGAATTTGAATTTTTCAAAAGTGACATACTAAAATTTCTTTATCTCTTGTACTAAACTCACAATGCCTACATCTACTACCAGCATTTTTGTTAAATACAGTTTACATAGCAATATACCCAATCAATATTTACTGAACAAGATCTATGAAATGTTACAGGTACCAGTGTTTGTACTATTTACTATATGAATGCAGCTAGCATAACAATATTCTCCTTGTCTTGTATGCAGCATGTGACAACTTTCAACAACAAATTTGCTATTCAAAAATACCAAATGCACCTTGTTTTGTTGATGTGTAGAAATTGAGGGAAAGTAATACAGGATACATAAAGTTGTTTTATACTTTCTTATTTTTTAAAATTTTGTTAATTATTATTCTAGTGAGGGCTGTTCTTCATTTGATGCAAATGATGTCTGTATGCACAGTCAGTTGGCGCACAAGTGATAATAAAATAAATGCAATATTTAATATATGGGGGCCGCCATCTTGAATCTTAGGTAATATTGAGCCAACCGCTAACAAATTACGACCGAATTCGTCATTTTTGTGTGGAAAATCCCTTAAATACAAACACCTAATTACAAGATTAACATAGAACAGTTTCCTGGGGTATTTGAAACCAAAAAATGTCAATCCAACTCAGCAGCCAATCAGTGATGGCCTTACAGTTAGATGACAATTTTAATTCTTCGTGTAATTAGGTGTTCGTACGCAAAGGAACAAGCCTCAAACATTTAAGATGCAAACTATATATCTAATGAAACACGCAATGTAGTATTATAGAAATGCATAGCAACTAGTAAATTTGGAACAAATCTAATATTGACACTTGTTATGAGTTAGTAATTGTTCAACAAACTGACAGATCCATAATTTTTAGATCAGTTTGGATGGCGCCGGACAGAATTATGTACTAATAATTTTTGAGTTAGTTTGTCATAAATCACATGACAAAGTTTATTGGTTCACAATCATGAAGATTGATCACCATGGTAACCTGTAAAAACACTTTTTGTGTGTTACAGTACTACTGTAGAATACTTTATTTTCGCTTGGAATTTATTTTCGCTAAAGGGATGATTCCGTGAAAATAAAATCCAGCGAATATACTTTTTTTCCTATATTTCACATTCAACTCATCAAAAATCAGTGAAAATAAATTCCATAAAGAATGCCTAAAAAGCCTTTTCAGCGAAAATTAATTCCAGCGAAAATAAAGTATTCCACAGTATATTTTCAGAATAATGGTTTGATATTTGTCAAACATCCATAATTTCATAAAATGCAATATTAAAGAAATAGTTATAGTTTTAGTAAATTCTTGAAACCTATATTTTTGAAATAATGCAGAATAACATGAATTAGCTATCAATCATAATGTATGATCACAATTTATGCCATGCCACCTGTGAATAATTAGAAATAAAGCATCATCATTACCATGGGAACCAATGGTAAAAACGTTATAAAATCTACACTGACACAATGGCCACTTTTCGTATTGACTGAAAGTACAATTCATTGCAAAATTTATGAATAGGTTTCTACCTTAAAAATATTGTTCCTGGTCACCATGCTATGCTAATGTTATGGCCAAAATAAGCTGCATCTCAAAAGATTTCCCATTGAAATTAGAAAATAGAACTTTACAGTTGACATTAATCACACATTGCTGTATCAGTTTTGAAAACAATTCTATCAGATACTTATTGTTAGAGGCCTCAGGTTCAAATGTCAGTACTCTTTTTGAAACGGGTGACTTGTGTTTTGTGTGTGCTTTCATTCTTGCCATCCAGCGTTTTACAAACATTGCACCCATTGCATTCATCGAGGTGTGAACATATTCCAACAATGAAAACAACTATTTCTATAGAAAGCATGTGGGTTGGAGCTATTAGGACAGCCATTTGGTTCAAGAGATATTTTTAAAAGTAGAGGAATTCAACAAAGCGTTACACTGTTATTTATAGGTTCCACACTACAATTAGATTATTCTTGGACTACAATAAACAGCTGAGCAGAATTGAATCTCTAGTTTTTATTCAACCATCTTTTTTTTGATACAAATTTTTGCACAATGTTCTGCATATTTTTCTGTAGTGACTTTGTTAATTTTGAACCGAATATAATTAGATTGTATACAATATCATCACATCAGAGTTTCCTGAATAAATCACCCACATACGGTAATAGACTTCAACTTTGAAAACGTTGCTCACTATTGGTGACGTGGTTGACTGTTTCTAAAATAAATTGTCTTGTAATCCTGCTAAAACATGTGTAGGCCTTAGTTAGAACAGTCTTAACATGTACCATATAAAAAAATTAAATTAGTGGGCTTTTCTTGTCTTGATACAAGTTAAAATTGTAACATGAAACAAATCATCTTTAACTTCTTGGCTTACATTAGGTTAGGCAATAAAGTTTTCATTTTATTTGCGATACTCTCATGACAAGCGTAGATACTAATAGCTGATATCATTTTTACTATGAATACCTCCCACCATGGGGTGCCAAGCTGCGCACATATGAAAACTGAAGACAATCAATTGCTATTCTACTTGTGAGAAATCAGTATACGTCCCGGCGAGTCTCAGTCACACGTCATAGTTCAATAAGCTACACACCCAAAAATGTAATAACATAATATCAATATTGACCAGCTGCAGTCCGGTAATAATTTTGATTGATAGTCTATATCTCCATATCAGCATCAAAATTGTTAAAGACAGCTAATACATAACTTTTGACCCTCGCCATACCTTGTCCTTCCCTCATTAACGTCACTGACGTGCCTATAAAACTAGACAAGTAAATCATTTCAGAGCACATAACACACCCAATATTTCATATTACTGTATTCATTCATCAGTCCATCGCATAGTTTTCATCTTACACACCTTTTTTTAAAGCGGGGAGTCGTCACCTGCGCATGCGTTAGATGGCCATAGCGTGTCATTATTTACAAACAAGTGTCTACTCATGAGCCTTTGCGTTTTTAGCGTGTGTTGTCGACCCTCCCGCTTTAATGAAAAAACTTGTGCAACTATAAATCCCAATATAGGTAATATTCAAATAGGCAAAAATGCAATTTTTAGCTGATTTAAATTTAAAAACTGGCACCTGGTATTATTTTACATATAAACAATGTAGCATCTCCTGCAAAGTGATTAAAGACAATTTTCAAACCTCTAGGCTACAGGAGTAATTGCGAGTAATACATGACAGTATACATAGATGCTAGAAAAAACAGGGATGTGCAACTGTGGTATTTTATTTTCTGTCTGGGCAAAATTTATTATCTTATATATAAACCTACATTTGATTTGTCAGACATTTTTAAACACGCACACTTGCATGGCATGAATTGACAAATACACGATGCTTGCAACAAGAATCCTTGAAAGCCATCACTTTCCCCGCCAAAATGTTGGTGCTACATTCTGTCAAATTTTATGTAATATTTTTAATTTCTTCAATAATTTTGGTTCAAGTGGACATCTTTTCCTATTGTCTGGGAAAAATACAGAAAACTTTATTCAGGTTTGATTTGTGAAAAAATACAAAAGTTAACTTGAATAAAAAAGATAAAATTTGGGCAATACACTGTTTTAAATTCCTATAAATATTTTCAATGTAACATTTGGCATAAACTTCTTTATTCTCAATAAACAAGCAGCCTATCGGCTGAGATAGCTCCGCTGTTAGCAATGCACATTTCAATTAAAGAACTGGAGACATCATTAGAAAATGAACAATATGAATAGTATTAAAGCAATCAGACTTACAGTTTTTAACAAGAAGTCGAAAATATCACTTTTTACCAAAAATTACAAAAATATTCACCAAAATAAATTAATTAGAGAATTGAAGATATCATCACAAAATAAACAAATCTGAGAGAGTTCCACATGTAGTACCTATATATGTAA